TACAGAGGCTTATCACAAATCGCATGACATGAGCTGACTAGGAGGTCACATTTTTTAACAACTCAACAGGACTTATACTGTTATAGATGGGTCATGCCCCTTTGGCTAAAAGACGCCAAGGGGCAACATTTCAACAGACACCAAGATGTCGAACCTTGTTAGGCAGAACAATGGAGGCTTACTTCGACAACAATGGTGGTCAAAAGCAAGGATGAGGTGACCATCTCATAGTCTCCATGTCTGCCGCCATCCTCCTTATTAATTCATCTTGCTCCCTCACACGATCCTCCCGAACTTGAGGATCCAACCTCTGCCTCTACCTTTCAGGACTTTGGAAGTGACGAGGACTAGAGCCTCGTCTCTCCCATGTGTCCCTCCAAGAGTTCCGTCGCTGGGGGTCTAACTCCGCCATAGATGGGACAAAAAGTAAGCCTTCATGTCTCCCGCCCCCCTTCGGGGTTTGCCCATCAATAGCAGATTGCGGCAAATTTTCATTGTGTGCCATTGATTTTAATTGAAGAAGAAAAACTTGATCAAAAGGTTTTGTTATTTGTGTGTTTCCCACAGACGGCGACAATTGTACGAGCACAAAATAATCTTCTCATATAATCTTGTTGATCAAGTTCACACTCCTCCAAACGTCATCGCTTTATCACCTGAAAACACAAACGTGAGCTACCTGGCGGGTGTGTGCCGGAAGCTAGCCGGCTGCCTAAGTCAGCAAACTTGACAAATAGACAAAGCTCTGAGTATTCTGAAAGCAAAGTTGTGTGTTACCTCTCCCAAGGTGATGTTTGTGAGCTTTTATAGGTTTTGTGTGGCACAATCCTAGTAGGACTCATACTCTTCCATGCAGAGTCCTTCTAGGATTCATACTCTTGAAAGATAATGCTTATCCTTCAACACCCCCCTCACTGCTAAAACCAAGTGAGATGGTTTGTACCATGGCCGAACTACAACATGACCGAAATAAAACTGGCTATGCTGAGCCACAGAGTAGGCCGAACTATCCTTAGTTCGGTTCTTCCTTTTACTCCTCCTTATCTCGGTTCTCTCCTGTGCAACTCATGGTGTGTTTAGATCGAGCTACCGAGTAGCAAGGTTCTGACCGCTCTATCCAGAATACGTCATGACCGGACTAACTCTGAGGCCGGCCTAACTCCAAGTTGCCCGGACCGAAGTAACTTAATCATTTCTTCTGGGCCGGAATAACTTTATCTCTCTTGGGCCATAAAGTCCATCTCATAGCTCGGCCCAATTTTCACCAAAATTACCCTCTCAAAGTACTACCAAATTGTCATTTTTACCGGTATTAACCGGAAGGCTCGACACCTATCCGCACGGGTTTTCGGTCTTTCACCCCGGACTCTCAGGCCAACTTATTCAATATTATCTACACCACCTCCGGACCGAAGTAGCTTTACAGTTCCTGAGCCGGAGTAACTTCATTTCTCTTGGGCCGGAGTAGCTTCTCGGCCCTTTTTACTCAGTCCGTCATACTTTAGGCCATAAAGTCCAACTCATAGCTCGGCCCAATTTTTACTCAGAATTACCCTCTCAATATTTATATTATTTTATATAAATATATTTTATTAATTTTTTCACATCCTGGTTTGCAATAGTAGCGAATTACCACAAAATGCTTTCGGCTCGTTTGGTCTCCAAATCTGTCCTATCTTGCACCTTATTTGTGACGACTGATTATGTGTAGTTGAATCACCCCAAGACTAAGACAGGCCGAGGCCTTTTCTAAAGCTTGGCCCAATTAACAGATCTGAGGCCCACCATTGTCCACTCCCAAGTTAGCCTGGGTTTGGATTCTGAATTTAATAAATAAATAAATAAATAATTATTTAAGATAAATTACACCGACCTTCCTGATGTTAGAAAAAATACAATAAATTTTACAATTTTAGCATAATTATATTGGCTTTTTTAAAGTTTTAATTTGCATAATACTTAATCTCCTTTTAATCAATAATTTGTGAGTCATATAGATAAAAAAAATAATAATATTATAATTTATTTTACACTAAAATGTGTATTTTAGATCATTTATGTTTGTGTGTTCACACCATCTAAATTAATTCTAGTCTCTTTAATTTTACTAAAAGGGAGATTGATGTAATTCTACCAAAACTATGGAGTTTGCTGTACTTTCTTCAATTTTCCAGGAATATCAGTGTAATTTACCCAATTATGTACATATACTCACAATTTTTAGATAAGTAAACAAAAAAAATATTTATTTTACAAATATAAATATTATTATTTTTTGATTTTCCAAAGCCAGCCAAAAAAGAGAAGTTTTGGGGAGAGAGTTTAGAATTTTTTTTTGGTTTGTTTGATTGTAGATTTTGAAAATAGTTTAGGAGTTTGGGATGATTTAATATTTTGTTATAGTTGAGTAGATGTGTGTGAGAGAAAAAGTGACTGAGATGGAGAGAGGAGAGAGGAGAAAGGAGAGAGAAAAAGTGATTGATTGATGTGTATGAGAAAAAAAGTGAATTTGAATTTTTTTTTTAAAAAAATTTGAATCAAACAAAATTTTAAAAAAATTTCTCAAAAATTGTATCCTGAAATAGAAACCAAACAAATTCATTTGTCTTTGGGTTTGTATAGTGGTTTCACAAATTATAATGGTTTAAGATACACTAGGCAAGCATTAAAGTTGGTGCAATCCCAATCTATTTATAGCAATTTACAATAGATATATGAACCTAAAATTGAGATACAATAGGAGATAAATAAGTACATGTTTCTTTATTCTTTGGTAACGATTATATATATATATATATGAGTGAGTTGATTAAAATGACTTGTATATATGAAGCAACGAATGAAAATAGAAAGTAGAGGAAGTGAACCCTAAACTTATTAAACTTAATTAACATCTCTCCTTGTGCAAAGAGTAACCTAAACGTGAAGGGAAAGGTGAGGGAGTAAAGCTTCCACCTTTCTCATTCATAATCATCAAATCATGGGAGGTTGCAATTGCCTCATCATGATGATCATGATTATGATCATTCTCATCCTTGTTTCTTGTATCAGTGTGGGCATAGGGAGACTTTAATGCCCTGCACATCAAGCATTGCCACAAACAATCATATATGTATGTATATCAATACAATAAGGGTGTGTTTAGATGGAAGATTTGACGAGAAATATAGAATGCATTTCCTTTTTACTTTCTTTTCTCTAGTGTTGTATATTATAACCCGACAATGCTACGTACCTCAAATTTTGTGGCTCAAAAGTGGCTCAAATGGTCAAAACGACGTCGTTTTGAGTACAGAGCAACATAAAAATGGCGACGTCGTTTTGGCCATTTGAGCCACTTTTGAGTCACAAAATTTGAGTTACGAGACATTTTCCATTATAACCAGACAAAAAGTGAAATTATATTTCATTTCATTTTGTTATTTTATTTCTTTTATCAAATCTTTCAATCAAACACAGTCTCAAAATATGTGTACAAACATAGAAATATATTGAAAAATATAATTTATAATTGAGAATTAATTTTAATGTGATAAAATACATATTTTAAATGACATTAGACCATACATTGAACAATTTTCCATTTTCGTGGTATAAATTCCAGGTATGTAGCACCGTTCACAACTTATATATCAATATGATGGAACTGCTCTAGGCATATTCAAATTGTTTGGTACAATTTTTTTATTTAAATTATCATCTTCCAATTTATATAAATTATTGCATTTGATGAAAGCAAAACTGTGAAATATACCTGCGGAAGCGTCTTTCGAGGAAACGTTGGAGGGAGTATTTTCTTGCAATTGGAAGATCTGTGGGACGAACCCAATTATAATGCATTTATAATTGTCAAAATTAATGGCTTCCGAAGAAAATACAATGAGCTTGTCTCCATACCGGACTATCCAATTTAAGGGCTAATTTGGAAAAATGGTTAAAATTTAATTCATTTTGGATCGTATTATCTCTCACATTTTTTTATACATTTTAAAAAAAGAAAAACCAAAGAAAGCCAAAAAACAAGTTTTTAACCACCTTTCCAAAACAACTTTGTATTTTATGTCTCTTTGGGTTGCTTTTTACAAAAATAAATAAAGAAATAAATAAATAAAAATTATTGCATATGATAATTGTAATCATATAATTTTTACTACATTTATTTTGAAAGAAATGAATAAGAAGTTTGGTATTGAAAATAATTCATCCAGTTTTTAAAAATAAATGTGATAAAATTATATGATTACAATTATCGAATCATTTATTTATTTATTTTTATGGGAGATTTACGCAGAAAGACTTAAAAATTCAACAAATTAGATCATCAAAGTAGGAAGAGCTTGGATTGGACAGTCCACTCCTCTTTGAGAACAGAAGAGAAGTGATGTCCAAAATAAAATTGCGAAACAAATATTGGAGATGTAATTAGTAAACTTAGATTTGAGTACAAATGGAGATTATTATTATTTTCTTTTAAAATTATTTTACAATTGGTAATAGAAAAAAATATAGGAAGGTAAAGCTAATATTAAATAGTAGTGAAATACTCAAATTTAAACATTACGTGAATAATACCTGCTTGTAACTTGCAAACTGAAGGCAAGTTGGGTCGATGCAATGGTTTTCTCACTTCTTTTTTTGGTACATTAGAGGAAATTGGAGCTGATAAAGAGCTTTCTCCAGCAAAAACCATGATGGCTTGTGCCTGTTATTATATAAAATCCAAGTTTCAAAACACTGAAAATATAATATAGGAAGAGGATAAAATCCAAGTTTCAAAACACTGAAAATATAATATAGGAAGAGGGGGGGGGGCAAGGGGGGGGGGGGGGGAAATGAACCATCTCGTCTATAATTTGAAAAGTTTTATTTATATTTCTTTCAAGGGAAATTATAAAATTATCTTCAAGGGAAAGGAAAAAAATGTGTGAAACTAAGTGAAATATAGGTTTGTTTTATTCACATTTCACCTACCTTTTCCATTTTCCTTTCCAAATCCCTCCTCAAATTTCCCAACCAAACACAACATAAAAGTTTCAAAACTTTAATTGTTTTTTATTTATTTATTTACGTATGAATTTCTTTTAACAATCTTATTTATTTGAAGTTTAAATAAGTGTTTGATTTTAAAAGCAAAAAGTGTGTCTGTTCCCAATAGATATCAAAGGGTCTATATAACTACGACTCTAACTCAGGCAAAAAACAATATACAACGTATTCTGATTCTCTCCATCTCCTCGGTACTGTATTTTCTTTATTTCATATTTCTGGACAATCGATATAAACTTGGCAAATCTTTCTAGTCTTGGGTTGTATCTTGGAATCGTTTGTGGTCGTTAAAATCTGCACGGAAGGAGCGCATAACAACTTTAGGACAACGTCTTTGACGTGTGCCTCTCACAATTATACAGACTATTTCTAAATCCTTTTCTTCATCTTCATCTTTTTGTGTTTTATGTATATATAGTTTTATCAAATTTGCAAAAATCTAGTTTCAGAATTTGTTTTGTTTAACATCTTTATTCTATAAAATTGATTTAGAGTAATTATTGTTCAACTCCCACAAAAATCTAAAGTCATTATTCTGTAACATATTTAATTTTTTCATTATTTGTGTTTTACAATTTAATTTGTTGGTCTTGAACTGAACTAAATCTTTGAGTGTTCAACCTCATTTTGTAAGAATCAGTCTAGTTCAAGCTGGACCTTTTGCCAATTGTGACGACACGACACAGTTAACTTGCGCAGAGGGATCTAGTGGTGCAGGTGGGTATGGGGATTCACCGTCCTTTTATATTATTGAATTAATTTTTTTTTTCACATTTATGCCAATTTCAATATCTTCCAAAATTAAAATCCAATTTTTATTTTTATTTTTATTTTTAATTCTGAAAATCACTTTCTAGCTTCTACTACTGTATATTATTCACTTTGTCAAGCATAAAATTATGATTTAAGTAAATTATGAATGAAAAATACAATCAATTTTAGCTATGGAGTTGGATACTCACCCGTCTATTATCTGGACTAGAGGGTGTTATCCCAACTTATAAGATCCACTATGGTTCCGTTTTGATAATTCAATTTAAATAATTCATTTTTTAAGGTATTTCGTATATATTATTTAAAAAAAGTTAAATAAATCCGATAATTGTAAACGTTAATGCGATATATATATACCTTGTGTTGGGGAACATCGTCATAGACGTTAACTTGACCACCATAGAAAATTGTTAGCTGTGCTGCTGAAGCCTTTGCACCTGATGGAGAAGTTTGGACTGTCGCATTGCCACTATATATATGTATAAAACAAGAAAATCATGATTAATCACATTTTTAGAGTAATCAATTATTATAATAAATTAAAGTTTTAGAAATAAAAATTTAGGGAGGGCATGCATATCTTATTTGTCAAAATTGTGTATTTTTATTGACAAAATAAAATATTTAGGCTTCGTTTGGCTAGGATTTTTGAGATTAAAAAAGCACAAAAGACAAAATAGATTGAATAAGTCAATAAGACAAAATGTCACATTATCATTTCACTTTTTCTCTCACACAGGTCAAAAAAAATAAAAAAAGCCAACCCAAATGAACTTTTTAGTCCCAAGCTAAAAAAGTCTCAACTTAAAAATGTTAACTAAAAATATTTTTGTCAGACGACAACTTAGGACTGAATTATTATCCTTTTAAGAGTAATTATGCAATCTCTTTTGTTTGCCAATTTCATTTGCCCCCTCCCATACCCCCTTCTGTCCCTTTAATTTTAATTCAAAAATTGTCCAATATTTGCAAAACTAATCCCATTAACCAATAAGATTTAAATAAAACAAAAACAAAAAAAATTCAATTTAAAGAGAGAGAGAGAAGAGAGTGTGGAAGAAAACAAGTAATTTGAATTCCATCCCATATCCCTCTCTTAATTGTCACAACAGCACACTGGAACATTTCCCTAAAATCTAAGGCTAAGAGGGGAGACATGACCTTTATATATATATATATATATATTTCTCTATCTTAATATACTCTCAATTTTTAGATCATATGTATTAAAATACTCAATTATTAGATCATATGCATTAAAAAAATGAAGAATATAAAGTATTCCTTGGCCAAGAAAGGACGGGACAAGAGATGGTACAACAATTTTAGAATGGAGGATATGAGGCATTGTTTCTCTAGTAAAAACATGCACCACTTCCCCATACTTCACCATCAAAATTGAAACCCTAAATTCAACGAATCCAGATTCAACACAGGTACATACCTGATTCCAGGAAGTAATGCTTTTTCCAAAAATGAAGGCGGCCGAGAACCATTACAAATTTTTGTCGCTACAAAACGCCGCAGTGTAGCCCTTTTAATGGCACCTGATTCCTCTTCATTAGTCTTGCCAAAGTTATGGGGAGTCCTTGGAACCAAGTATTTTCTGAACAAATCAAGGGTTTGAGTCTTGTCCTCTGATGACTTCAAGTTTTCCTTTTGATAATCAAGCTCTTCTTCAATTTGAGCAATGTCTTCTATCTTCATAAAGTCCTTTGCAACTACAGAGCTACAAGACATGTTGCCTACAAAACATGTGATAAAAACCCTTTAATATCATTATTAAAAATGCAACCTAATTTTTTTTTTGAATGTAAATAGCATCTGTAATATGAAGGAGATTGCTTCAAATAAAACAGTTTTGTTAGAGAGCTCTAATTAGAGCTACTTAAAGCAGTTCTAATGAGCTGGCATCACATAAAAAAGAAAAAAGAAAAAAGGCAATTTAATGCTCCTTTAGAGCTCCCTTTTTAGAGGTTTGAGTCATTTTTGCAAATGAAAATAACCAACAACAGTAGGAATTCAATTATCAACTACCCGATAAGAATCCGTATTGAATGAACAATCCTCCTATAATATTAAAGGTTTCCATGGCAATGTTATATTTTTTGTTCAGGTATTAGTTCATAGTTTCTCACTAAAAATAAGTGATTTTTATTGTGCCTATCTATCTTCTATATTATGATCGCCTGTTAAAATTAAGTAGGGTGGCTATAAACTGGATAGTCTTAATCTATTCGAAAGATCATTTGATGTAGTTAGAGTGATTGAAGGTTTTCTTGTTCGGCCAAGTATGGGGAATTCGTTGAATTCAAACTATCTAAATGATATATTTTATTTTCTTTCTTTTTTTTCTTGTTACTCACACTCCAAAAAAAAAATATTAAGAAAAGCACCCAAAATATAAAATGATACAATGATAAAATTAAAATTTTATTAAATTTCTATATAGTTCTTTTTTATTTTGTGTGTGTTTTGCGTAACATTACTCACAATAGTATGATATTGGACTAAAATTATTCAACAACCCAACATATAATGAACAAAATTTCTAAATGGGATTACTAATGTTAAAAGTTTGACACAATTAATATAACTAATCAAACTCAAGCATATAGACCTTTCTTTCTACGTTGGAAAAAACTTAACCATGCATGACATAAAAACAAAAAACAAAAAAGAACCACTATGCCTAAAGTATTGAACTCAAGCCTTAATGTCAATAAAATGAAATATTGTTTCACATAATCTTGCATATCATGAAGTTCTTATGCACATATATATGTTCAAAATAAATAAAAATTAAAAAATTAGAGAGAGAGAGAGAGAGAGAGAGAGAGAGAGAGAGAGGACCTGATGAACAAGGTGTTGGCCGATCTTCAATATGATCAATTTTAGAGTGTAATGAAGTCAGATGAAACAGGTTTATATATTTACATATGTATGTATGTGTAGAGAGAGAGAGAAAGAGAGAGAGAGAGAGAGAGAGAGAGAGAGAGGGGCTGGGAAAAACAACCTTGCTAGGGACGGAGGGAGGTTCGGTGAGCACAACAGAGTTCATCGATGGATTCGATATTAGAAACATTAATTATTATTATAGACCCATCTGTTTGTTATTGTTATGTAATGACGCCACGTGTAAGACTTCAACCATGAGAAAGATACACACAAGGCTGCTTTTTCTTTTTATAAACGTGATAATAATTAAATTAAATAACGAAAAAACATTGAGAATTGTTTGGAAATAGATTGTTTTAGTAATTTTTTGATTTTTTTAAAAAGATACATAAAAAAAAAAAGTGATGTGACTCAAAAAAGACAAAAAATATGTTATTTTAGTAATATTCCAAACAACCCCTAGTGTGGTGTGTCATAGCCGTGGAGAAAATTTATGTGGGATCTTAATTAGATTTTTATTGGTTTCATTATATTTGTATTGATTTTTGAGAGATAATACAACAACAAAAGAAAAATATGATTGTATCATGATTATAGGGCGAATTCATGTGATGTCCAAATTATTTGAATGTTGTGCCTTGTTGTCTAACTGAAAAATTATATTATGATTGTAAGACAAATCTATGTGATGAATAATTAGTTTTTTATTGATTAAAACAATGAGATTCATAACTTTTATATTAACTTTCAAAGACAATAATAAGTGACACGATATGAATGGTATAGAACAAATAATTTTTCATCATTGTGACTAGACTTATGATAAGTAGTTTACATGGCCTTACATAAGTCTTATTTTTAAAAATTAGTTATTGTCGAACTTTACTTCACACTCTCCTTATGTGCTCACTTGCTGTGTCTTTTGCGTGCATTGTGCAAGCAACTTAAAATTTCACTTCACAAGTCATATTAAGAATCTTTAAATCGTACTTTTTAGTTGTTATAGTTAATACTATTATATTTTAGTCACTCGACTGGCTTAGTTATTATAATAGTTATTTTAACAAAATTATTTAAAACTAGTTATATTTGAAGAGTTTTGGGAGGATCTTTAAACAGTTTGTATATATAAATAGGTAAAATAAATAGTAACGTTGGAGTATGTAAATAAAAAAAGAATTAGGCAAAATAAAAAATTACTTTTTTTAAAAAAAAATATTTTAGCTAATAAAAAGTAAAGAGTATGATTGAAGTTGCTCTTAAAAGGTATAAATGGCATGTTTATTTGCACTAAAACTCCCTCAATGGTTAGTAAATATCAATTTACCATTAATTTATGAACTCGTATATTTTAACCTACTCAACTATAAATGTTGGATTGATAGGAAAGATCACGTTAACATACATGTTGAAAATTGAAGATTTAATTATTACAATTAAAAGTTACAAGATTAAAATAAAATTTATGTAAAAGTTGAAGTATAAAATTGTAATGTACTCATAAAAAATTAAAAAAGAAAAAGAAAAACAAAAACAAAAATAGTTTAGACTATACTATCCCAAAAAGCGAGGATGGGAAACACATGCTTCAATGGTGAAAGAAAACAGTATTATTTTTCGATCAGCTAAAGAAAAACTTTATTGACGGATGAAAATATACAAAATTGTTGAAAGAAAACAATGTTGTCACTTTTACGAAATGGCATTTGAGTAGTGTAGTAGCTTGAAAATTGCATGTCACCATCAATGACAGAAAACTAGTTTACATTAATTTAATGTAAGACATTACGAAGTTTTGTACGCAGGTAGAAAAAAGTTCATGTGTTTCTCATGTACCATGAATTGAAGGGCCAACGTCAATGGCACCTGCTTCACTACAGTTGTATATTACAGGTGAGATTGTTAAATCATGAGTCTCATCCAGATTCATTTTTTTAAATTGTTTATTTTATTTTATAAGATTGGTTTTTTTAATAGTTGTAAATGGTTATTTTTCCAAACAATACTTCTTGTTAGAAGGAAGATAAAATTGATAAAATATTGTTGTTATATATTGAATTAATATAAATTTTTAATATAAATATATTTACATAACTTGAAGTATAAGATTAATACGGTTGTTTGATGTGGTTTTTAACAAGCTAAAAGTTGATAATAAAAAATTAAAAGTAAAAGCATATCTTATTTTGAATAATCAATTTTATTTAAGTTACTTATGTCTCATAAACAAAAGTTGGATCAAATAGTACGATACATATTTTTTTTTAAAATAATAATAATAAATCTACGGTGCCGTTTGATGTAACTTATATGAGCTAATTATATCTTATTTTATTTTAGAAATAAATATGTGTTGGACTATTTGATACAACTTTTAGGGTTTGGCTTCCCTCCCGTCCGATGCGGACTGGAAGGTGCTGTTGGACTCACGGAGGCCCATCATGGGATCTCGTTTTGATAATATGAACCGTTCAATGTATAGAATTCGTCGAGTACTATATTCTGATAAAAAAATCAAATTGATCGGATGTCGATAATTACGTGATCAAATCAGTTTTGTATTAAAAAAAAATGGATGGTGAAAAAATAAACGGTTGACAAAAATCTAATCCGATGAAATAACTATCGATATTTGATCAAGGTAATGTTTTACAAGCATATAGTACTTGACAAGTTTTATATATTGAACGGTTCGAATTATCGAAATGAGATCTATGGTGGGCTCCTACAAGCCCAACAACACCCTCCAGTCCGATTACGGAGTGGAGAGAAGCCAATCCCCAACTTTTGTGTACAACTTAGGCCTATTTTGGGAACTTATTATTTTAGCTGAAAATATATTACAAAAAGTCAACTATTCTCTCTAACTTTTTTTATATATTTTTTTCATAAAAAATTGAAAGGTCACTAAAAATGTCAATTTTCAAAATAACCCTAAATAGGCATAAGCAACTTAAATAAGCTTCTAAAAAATATTGATTATCTAAGAATTAAGGAAAGTGTGTTTTTGACTTGTATTTTTTATTATCAATTTTTAACTTACAATAAATTATATCAAGCAACCCATAATAAAATCTACCAACTCAATTAGAGAGAACCTCTTATAAATTAAAAGACTCAAATCATTTTGGGGTTTGCTTATTTGTTGGCTTATTTTTTTATTTTTAGTAAACTTTTTAAAAAAAGATCAAAAAGTTTTCGAATTTTAAATTCTACTCGATGAAACAAAATGAAACGAAAAATTAAAAAAATAAAAATTTTCAAAAAAAGTCCAAAAAATGCAAAAATAAACAAAATAAATAAATAAATATTTTAACATATTTTGGTTTTTAAATTTTTTTTCTTACTTTTTAAATTCGTTTATTCAAGACGGACAAAAAATTTAAATTATGACATAATTTTAAAACTTTAAAAAAAAAAAAGGACTTATTTTTGTGTTTCCAAACCTCCCCCTCCCCCAGAAGGCTATGTTTGGCATAAATTTTTTGGGCTAAAATAGTCACAAAATGACAAAATAAGGTAAAAGTTAATAAGACAAAATATCACATTCAAATCATAATCATTTCATTTTTTTTCTTACAAAAATCAAAAAAATCAAAATGTCCATCCCAAACGAGCATTTTTAGCCCAAGCTAAAATAGTCAAAAAATCAAAAATAAAAAATTTAAAAAGCCAACTCACATCTCAAATGAAGGCAATAAAATCTATAAACCTTATTGCACAAAACCAAATTAAGGCCTTGTTTGGGGAGTGGTTGAAATAGTCAAAAAGTTAATATAAATTGTCACATCACTTTCTCTACTTTTCTACACATCTTTTTACAATAAAAAAAATTAAAATTAACTAAAATAGTCAATTTTTAAACAAGCCGTAACTCCGAGTAACAGTCTCTCGCTGCCACCGCATCTTAACCCCTCCAGGCATAGGCGTCACCCTGTGTTGAAAGAGGAATTTGTTAAATGCAATGCAAGCTAAAAGATGGCAGCATCTTAACCCCTCCAGGCATAGGCGTCACCCTGTGTTGAAAGAGGAATTTGTTAAATGCAATGCAAGCTAAAAGATTGTAATGAATGTCAAAACAAGCAAAGTATATGAAGGATCCAACAAGCCTTTGATGACGAATGACAACAAGTAAAATTAAAATACTTTCATAATATCCTTCTTTTGCAATATCTATTATGGAGAGAGAGACCCTAACTCCTCTCGAATTGGTTTAAATGGAAAATTTTAAATTTCACTAAGAACGCATTTATTATTTAAATAATTTATATATATTATTTTTATTTTTATTTATCTGAATTCCACACTTTCCTTAGGCCCCTTTTGTTTTGGGGTGTAGAAGAAGAGATGGGATTAAGATAAATGTGGGGCCTAGTTAATCTTCTATTTGTTTGTCGATTGGAACAACGGGTTGATAAGCCGGACGGCTTAAGATAGGCCTTGCTAACAGGTTTCATAGTCTGCTCCAACACTTGGTATTGAAAATTTAGTCCGTTGGTATTAGGAAAGTGATTACTTATTTACCTATCATTGTCCTAGCTCATCCTTGAAAGAAGCAATAGCAAGAGGAAGGAGAGGCGAAGAGAAGCTCTCATCTTCTTCAAATTTTCGATCTGAAGAGTTTGCTCTACTCATCCTTGGAAGCAACAGCAGCAAAAAAGTAATCTTCTATTTGTTTCGATTGGAACAACGGGTTGATAAGCCGGACGGCTTAAGATAGGCCTTGCTAACAGGTTTCATAGTCTTTTCCAACATTGGGTATTGAAAATTTAGTTTGTTGGTATTAGGAGAGTGATTACTTATTTACCCATCGTTGCCCTAACTCATCCTTAGAGGAAGAAGCAGCAGCAGGAACAAGGAGAGGCAAAAAGAGGCTCTCATCTTCTTCAGATTTTCGATTTAAAGAGTCTGCCCTACTCATCCTTGGAAGCAACAATAGTAAGAAGGAGAGGCAAAAAGAAGCTCTTTCTTCTTTACAGTGTGCCCTAACTCTCTATCATCTTCAGATTCTGCATCGGTAATTTTTTTTGTTAAGCAAGTTATTATTTTTTATTATAAACCTCATTGGGGATGTGAATGCAATTTACACTTGTTAGAGATGCTCGCTCGTCATTCGTCCGCTAAAACAC